AGCTTTCTGCTGTGCTGTGTTTTCTCATGCCTGAGATTTCAATAAAAGCTGGTGAGGATTATAGGAGGGGGCCAGACCCTTATTTCCCATAAGGCTGGTGTTGGCCTCCCCAGGTCCCTAAGTTCAATGCAAATTGACTGAGTAGGTGTTATTCATTTGCGTCCTTTTGCACCAATATCTCTCCTCCTTCTCCTCCTTTTCCTTCTTCTCTCTCTTTCTTTGAAGATGGATTTATCTTGCTCTGGTGCTCAGGCTGGAGTGCAGTGTCACAATCACAGGTCACTGCAGCCTAGAATTCTTGGCCTCAAGTGAACCCTCCTCCTCAGCCACCCAAGTAGCTGCTTTGTAAATGGTCTCTTTGTTCTGTCTCCTCAGTGAGCCTCAGTGTGTTAGCATTGTCATATAGGAGCCTTGAATAGCACAGTAGCATTTATAGTGGGGGATTACATACAGTGGAACTGGTTCCCCCAAACCAGTATTTCTTTAGGTAGAGCACTACCTCATCATCCCTCAGTGCTGTCACATAACAGTTACATGAATCTTGCAGCATGTTGGCCAAAAATTCAGGAGAAGAAAAAAAAAATGAATTGTAGCTATTTGTCACCAATAGGCTATTTAATCAAGCCCTTTCATGATTTGTAATACAAAGTAGGCATCAACAGGAAACATTTATTTTAGCTTAATCATTCCCTCCTCCAAATGATGTTTACTTTACAAAATGCTTCTCATAATTTTCTTTTTCTTTTTTTTCAACTGCATCCTCCTGTCAGCATCCTCTTTTTTGCCAAAAGGATAAGCAGCTCAGAGATTCCAACTTTATTGGAAGAAATATAACTCTATTAATTACCCTCTGAAATGAGACTTCTGAAACTCAGTGGTAGAACAAAATAAGAACCTGAAATGTATCACAGGAGGATGAACAAAGGATTCTGTCCAAATATATACTAGAAAGTCAAGGTCTAGGCACCAAATAGCAAAATCCAGAGGTCAATGATTCCTTCCATCCATCCATCCTTGTTTTTGTTATCTGTCTGTCATATAGTCATGATGCTCCTCCACCCTCTTACCATCTGCAAAGTTGTTCACCTAATCCAATCAAGAAGACAAAGTTTCCTGTTGATGCGGTCTGCGAGGTCAGCCTTCCAGGACATAGATCAGGGTAGAAAAAAGCAAAGAGAGGATCTGGAAAGATAAAGAGAGAATAAGTATAATATTTCTTCCTGCTTCCACCATTCATTTTTCATTATACAAATATATTCATTAGTCAAGAGGCAGCATAAATGCCAACTCACCAGGATTCTTCCCACCTGTGTCACTCACTGCCTTCAGCTGAAATGGTTTTCTTGCATCTGAGTGTGCCTCATCCTTTCTCAGGATCTCTGTCATTTCTCATTTTGTACCCATTCCTTGTCATGGTTAGTTCGGGCTGCTATAAGAGAACTCCACAGATGAAAGGATTAACCAACATTTCTTTCTCACAGTTTTGGAGGCTGGAAAGTCCAAGATAAAGGTACCAGCAGCTCTGGCATCTGGTGAGGATAGATTGTTCCTATTTTGCAGAAGGCCTTCTTATCCTTGAATCTTCATAGGACTTAGAGAGAAATCCTCCCTTTTCATAAGGGCAGTAGTTCCACTCATGAAGGCCCCACTCTCATGACCTAATCACCTAATATCATCACCTTTGGGGTTAGAATTTTACCATAAAATTTGAGCTGATACAACATTCAGTCTGTTATACTCCCTAATAATTTATATGTGTGCATTGTAGGTTGGGTTATCCCAGAAATTTTCACACTGAAATGAAAATTTGTTTGTGGAAGTGACCTGTGAGAATGTGTTCCCAGAACTGGTAGGGAAGAGGGACAGGAGAAAGGAAGGGAGTCATGCTGGAGTCTAACTCAGTGCTGCAGGGCATGTCTAGGTTCAGGCACATCTGCCCTTAGAGTTGACCCATTAAGGGGCAAGGAACAGACTAGCTGAATTCCCACATAAGTCAGCAGTGAAGGACTTCTAGATTTTTAGGCAATGTAGCTCATGGCAGCCTGTGCCCAGATGCCAAAAGAGCAACACAAGTGTTGGCTGTTGAATGTAGGAGCTCACTGGGATCTCACATAAACTCAGGTGGTAAAGGGATTGAAAAGGGTGACCGGAAGCCTTGATAGGTCTTCTATTATACACACTTTCTTTCCTTTCCTAGATAGTAGCTTCTCTAGAGTGAAGACTAGAATCCTCTTTGCAACCCTGTATGTATCTTTATAACACCAACATCTAGTACTGGGCCAGCCTTGTGCTGCACTGACTTCTTCAGTTGCACAACATTCAGAATGGCCCTGTTCTTGGTTTAATACTTTGCCGTCATATCATAATTACTGAGCAATTTTTGTTTTGCACTGGGTCTTGCAAATTATGTGGCCAGTCCTGTCTAGCACAGTGTCTGGCACAAAAGAGGCATCCACTATGTTTTTACTGAGTGAAGGAATAAATGCCTAGCATTCACTAGGTAGCTAATAAATGCAACTTAAGAGTATATCAGGAAGCACTGTCACTTTTTATCCTCGAACTTGAAAATAAAGATGCTAGAGTTGGGTCTTGCCATCTAACTTCTCTCCTCCCCAGTCTTTCTACCTCTTGAGGGTACTCAAGAAGGGAGGGCTGGACTTGTTTATTTTGAGCTGCTGTTTATTTTTCTCTTTCCGTGACATAGAAACTTCTTGGCAGCAAGCAGCCTCAGGGTAACACTATTTTTATTTCTCCAGCAGAATAATTAAATTTAGGATCAGTTGATTTTCTTCAGCAGAGTGGCTGTGGGCAAAATGGAATGAACAGGCTGTTACAGAGGGTTGGCTAGGATGGGGGTCCAGAGACATTAGACACATGGGTCTGCAGCATATTTACTGTGAGTCAGCATGAGGAGAGAGCGAGGGCTTTGTGAAGATCAGTTCATCTGACTTCTCTGTATGTAGGGAAAGCACAATCACTTCTTAGAAGTGGAGCAAGGAATAACTAGACCACAGACCACCAAACTATAAGCTCATCAGCCAAATATGACCCACTGATTTTGTAAGTAAAGTTTTGATGGAATACAGTCTTGACCATCCATTTGCATATCATCTATAGCTGTTTTGGGCATACAACAACAAAGTTGAGCTATGTGACAGAGATTGTATCACCTCTAAAGCTGAAAGTATTCCATGTCTGGCCTTTTATAGACAAAGGTTTGTTGACTACTGATCTAGAAGGAACCCTCGACATTTGTTATAGGGAATGTTACCAATCCTTTATGGTGCTCTACACAAAGAGGACTCTATGGTCAAATCTATTTGGAAAATGTACTTTATCCTCTTGGCACTTCAAAACCATGCCACCCTATTGTAGGAGATGCTGTTCATGCCCTCCTGTATCCTCTGCACACACTGCCCACTGTAAGCTCTTGTGGTGCTTGCCCTAGGTTCTTGTTCTGTTATTTGTTTTCTTTCCTTTCTGGCCTGGACAGTATGTGTGGAGGCTTGCAGGGCATGCTGGAAGTATCTGAGAGCCAATGGCTTTGAAAGCTGATGTCAACCAATGATGGACAGCAGCTGGGAGAAAATTCTGCAGCTTTCTCACTTGTGGGTCGGGACAACTCTGGGGCACAGTCCATGCAGTCTTGCAGAGCTCATCAGTGGGACTAAACTCCAGGTGCCTGCAGTGGTAAACCTGCTCATTATTATACCCTACATGTATTCATTGGCTTTACTTCTCTTACTGCAGTTGTGTTAGTATAAATTAATTCAATACTAATTCTTGTCTTAGAATATGTATTTGAGGAAATCTAAATCAAGATACCTACCAATTAGAGGCTCTGAGAAGTTCTGAACTAAAAATATAGATGGTCCCAACTTATAATCATTTGACTTATGATTTTTCAATTTTATGATGGTGCAAAAGTAATATTCATTCAGTAGAAACCATCCTGTTTTTCACTGTAAGCACAGTATTCAATAAATTACATGAGATATTCAATACTTTATTATAGAATAGGCTTTGTGTTAAATGATTTTTGCCCAGCTGCAGTATAAGTGTTTTCAGCACATGTAGGGTACACTAGGCTAAGCTATGAAGTTCAATGACATTTGATATTAATTAATTTCATCATTAATGAAAATATTAATGATATTTTCAATTTATAATGGGTTCATCAGGATATAACCCCATCATAAGTTGAG